GTTTTTTGCAGCAGGAGAAAATTAAAATGACAATAAAATGTAACATCATATTAAACGAAGCACCACGTTTTCGCTGGTGTTACCTGACAGTTTCCTACATGGCGTTTTATACATGCTGCAGAAAAATAAAACCGGCTTCCAATTCGACCCCATTCACATGCAGCGAGCCGCCATTTCGACCTCGTTGAGTGAAGAGAAACACTTCCGGGGCACAAAACGTTGCATTACTGCTTCAGGAAATAACTAGAAAAGGGCGTTACCTGCAGAAAATACTACGAATCGTGATTGCTGAAGAACGGCCCTAGTAGTGCTGAAGATGGCTGAAATTTATTGCTGAAACAGCTGAACGTTGAGATGCAAAGCTGAATAATCCTGGAATATGAAAAGAAAAGCTGAATTTGGGAGCCCAGCTTCCTTATCTAAAGAAGCAGAGAGCTGAAAAGATCACTAAAACAGTGGAAGGTTTAATACCAAAGTGAGAAGTAGAAATAAAATTGCTGAAAGTTGTAAATGGATAGAAGTATTTATCAAAATAAAATATAATTTGTATTTTAAATCACATCAATTGTGTTTAAATGCGCCTTTTAATGTGAAAAATCAACAAAAGAAGAAGCAGACTAACTGAAGCCTGAAGGACTGCTGTTTTCTTGTTCCTGTGGTAATCGTATCCACTTCCTGTTTCTTGTGCCTGCACCATGTTGTGCTTGCTACCAGATTGTTTACCGATTAAGCTCACTATTTTCTTTTTTGAGTGACAACATAAGCCTGCAATACTTAAGTGCCTGTGTTATAGAAGCTCTTGCTAATTACCTAATTTGACTTGCTACTTTAGGTTGGCAATCTTAGAAGCTAACTAAGCTAGTAGCTTAGTTGAGAGCAGTGGCTTCCCCCTCTTCCTTTCCTTCTTTCTCTTGCTTGGAGTGCCACATGTTCAGTTATTCCTCTGCCTCTTTTAGTAATAATGGTGCCTTTAATGAATGTCAAATGCTAGTAGCATAGGATGCAAAGCTCACCGATTCGGAAGCGCGGCTCCACATCATGGAGAACAGTAGTGATGGCCATCTGACACTGAGGCTCTGATACAAGCTTCAAACTCGAAGAGGCATTTTCTGTGAACCACTGCTTCGAAGCCTGTTTTGTTGCTGAAAAAGACACGCGACTGATGACCTCTGAAGCAGAAACTGCTTCTGTTGCCTGAGTGAATCCCGTGGCTGCTTCAAACAGTCGATACTGTTTCATAACGCGAAACCTCACTGCGCGCGTCAGCAGGTTTGTAGGCACGTAAATGCACTATAAAGCCACCCAAAATGATGCACAATATGTGGGTTTGTCGTTGTATTAGGCGTGTGTGTAGTTGCTGTCGTTGTATATTATAATTGCTGACTTTCTTTGAATTGAGCATTCACATAATTCAGACATTGTTTTGCTGTCTCCTATTTCACCACTAGATGTCAAACAAACCTTTGAATGAATGAACCAATGTTCAATACAATTTGATGAAGTGGTGGATACTGGTTCATTGCTTCATTTGGACATCACTAGACAACAGCCCAGCTAACCATGCCCATGTAGCTGGTGCAAAGTCTCCTAGACATAGCTTAGCCCAAACTAGCCGCCCCCAGCGCTACAACCGTACTACTGTACATTCTCTAGTAATTTCCTACAATTAAAAGGATGTGAAAATAGTGAATGTTACCAGACCTTCATGTGAACTTAAATTGCAATCTTGGACTTTTATTTTGAAAATCCAACATGTTTCAGAGCACCACATCACTTCCTGTAACTAACTTCAGGATTTTGTTTTCAAACTCAACCACTCTACAGTGTGTGTATCTTTGAGTTTTGGAGTGTTGACTGGACACAAGAGGCATTGTGAATGTGTCACTGTAGACATTGTTATGAACATTTCAAACATTTCTTCTTCTTCTTCCCCTATTTATTACTACTACTACTGCTAACATTTCAAACATTTCTTCTTCTTCTTCTTCTCTTTATTACTGCTACTACTGCTGCTACACACCAAATAATCATTCCTTTATTTAAACAATTATTTGCAGTCTCATACACCAGGAACTAGCTTCAATATAAACTGTCTGCTGTGAACATGTCATATAATGCACCTATGTTTTTATTAATTAATATCTTCTTCTGTGTATTACTTACTTATTTAGCAATTTCCTTTATGTTCCTCATGTGGACTTTCTAGGTTTTCCTCAGGAGGTTTTCCTCAGGAGGTTAAGCCATCCAGATCCTAATATAACTTGTCTTAAAGTCTAATTTGTTATACATGACTAAATAGTTGCCAGCCTCATTAAATATATGACCTTTGCTGGATGCAATAGTGCCTTTGCTCGTTTTCCAGTGATTAACTTTTTACTTAATTTTTCATAAAAGTGCATTAAACTCTCATGGTGGTGTTGCTCATTTGAAGCAAAGTGGTCAGTTAAAACAGTGTAGAGTGTCCCCCCAGTTATAAACATCTGCCTGCAGCAATATGTTACTGTTAATGATTAGATACTATAGCTTCAAGAGGAGGCATTTCCAGCAAGGTTCCTTTTAAATTAAAACTGTGTGTGGTTTCTTTAACAAACACCCGTTATTTTTCTTTTCTGGGCTACCAGAAAACATCTGTGATTGACCAATAATTCTAAACTGAATTCATTTAGTACAATATTGCTATCTAATTCAATATCTGGCTTTTTGCCTCCTGCCCTTGCATGTCCTCTGATTATAGGCCTGTTATTTATATGTATGATCATCTTGTCCTGGTTGCCACAGCCCAGCCAGCAAGATGGAAACCTGATTAATACCTTTGCCACTGCTCTCACTTTGCAGCCTGGCTTTTGTCAAACAGTAATAATAAAATGATATGATTGTCTGTTTCAGTGCAGTGTTTCCTTGAATTTTACTGACTGAGAAGGATGATTATTATGGTGACCTAATTGTAGAGATCATATATTGTGTAAAAAAAAAAAATCTTTCTCTGCTAATTAAATTTCATAGCAGTTCTGCAATTGTCATGTCATGTGCTGTACAAGTGCAGTTCACTATTTAGTATTTAGTATTCATAGAATCAGATTTGTTTTTGTGAATGACCATGATGCAAATATCCTTTACAATTTTGTGTTGTCTGGGAACTCAAATCTCGCCACAGTTCAAACTGAGCATCCAGTTCTATTAATTCATCTCATTCATTTCTCTACTACCAGCTCCTCCTTCACTGCTTACATGGTGTAATCTTCATGCACCATCAAAATGCAGGAGGTCATGAATGCCAACAATACAGAACAACACACAAAGCCATATCAGATTCAGCACAAGAGCACCATTATTACAGTAGATAACCATTATGTCTTGTTCTACAAGAATTCATTCTGCTGGGTATAGTTTTGAGGGAGAAAAGGTTTATTGCTTGGTTTAAACCATATTATTTATTCTAGGGCACTGTTATACAATTTCACTGCATCATGTTTGCTTCATTTTTGCTTCTACAAGGCTGCAGGAATCTAGTTGCAGAGAGAAGGATAAAACCTGCCAAGTTTATGGCTGTGTAGGGCACTGCATCAAACTATAATATTTTATATAGCAGTCTGTGGACTACCAATACCGATGACTGACATCTTTAACAGAATGACAAGGCCTCACAGTAACAAGTAGGTTCATTCAGTATGCGGCTCTGAACAGAAGCATTTATTTATTGCATGAAGACAAGGAATAGTTTGTCCCCTATAGGGATTAATTCCATGGGACCAGCTCTCCTTATCCCTCTGCTTCATCATTGGTATGGCAGCTCTGGCTCATGCATTTTGACAATGTATTTTAGTGTTTTATTTGTGTGTATTATCAGTATATCTCTAATTTAAAAGTGAAAAAATACCATTTATTTTGAGGGTGTCTAGTGAAATGCATTCAGACATACAAACACCTGGTTATCTAGGCTTGTGTAAATTGTTCTCCTAAAGTCAGGATACTCCTGTTTAGATAATTGCACGATGCAGTTCAATGAGTAAAGACAAAGCCGGGCATGCCTTCTGTCCATAAGGTTGACCAAAAGACAGGGCTTTAAGAACAGATGGACAAAATGGAATGGAATGGCCCAGTAACAATAGGAGGAGTTTGTGAGGTCTGTTCAACCCAGAGGGGTCTTTCAAAAGATGCTTTTCTACAGTACCTCTGGTGGTGGTCCTTTTATCACGCTGCTTTCACTACATCTTGAAAAAATGAAATGGCTATAAATGTCCTCTCCAGAGAGCAACAAAAGCACAAAAGAACTCAAGGCATGCATTGTGTCAGGGTGATGACATATAGTTTAAAACAGTAAAAACAGACTGATGTCAGCCAGGGAATGCTAGACCTGCAGTGGTGTCTAGCTGCAGGATGGCTTAGAGTTTTGTGTATTTGGGTTAACAGTAATATGACTTATTGAAAAACAATTGCATATAAATTATATGTTAAGACTGGTAATAAATGAGCTTGAAATAAAAAATCAACATTTACTACATAATATTGTGGTTTATGCAGCTTATCCCAAAGGGAAATTGGATAATTCTTGCAATGGGAGTGAAGACAGTAATAATAATACATGTAGGTTTGTGTTTTTACTTCACAAAATAACAAATGATCACTTAAAATCTTTTGTTATCTTAGCCAGATGTTTTCACAATAGCACAATTTACATTCAAGGAGAGCAAAGATTCTAAAGTGGAAACCAGATGTCAATAAGATTGATGGGCCAGCCCACTGTTAGGAGCTCTGTCTGCCTGGTTTACTGTGAAGCTGGTGTAGCAAGAGGAAAACTGGTCTCTTTAGCAATTTGAAGGGCCCAGGAATGTATTCAGTGTTCTGTTTAAAACACAGGCTCCTTGGTTCCACTTAGCATTGAAAAGGTGACATGCCGAATCAACTAAAGGTAGCACGGGCTCCTGGCTGTGTAAGCAAAGTCCTGAAGGGTCATTTATAGATTACTCCACACACACAACCTCCTGCCACACATATGGCCTTCACAGAATGGACAAATAATATTTTTTATTCCAGTTTTACATATCTCACACGGGGGAACACACTAAGTGCCTATAATGAGACACCCCTTCCCAGAAAGTCCCAGTAAATGGCCTAGTGCAATAACGGAGGCCTCCCAGACCTGTCATTGCCCCAGTTCATCTGCTCTGATTTACAAACAATGTCCCAGCAGCCTTAGTGCTATCACTAATCCCACAGGAATGACCATGTGAATGGCAGTGGAGCCTG